ACTCTTAACAGCAGCAAACAATCAATCAAAACTTGGTATATTTCTGTAACAAATAGTTTTTATACATTATTTTAAATTTAGTTAGTGAAAAACACTGTTTTAACTCTTCACAACAATTATTCCAAACACAAATCCTTCTAACAGAGGTACAATTGTTTTAAATATATGTCCTAAACTTTGATTTTTTAAAATAAATCTTTATTAATTCATTGTTTGATTCTTTAATTTTGAACCACTTCTGTATACAAAGTGGAAGACTTTAGTATAAACTTTGTACACTGTCTACTAAATCATAAAATTTTAAAGTATGCAATGTGAGAAATATGTCGTTAGTTGAATGACAATAATTTGATGCATTTATAATTCTTATAGCTTTCTTCTGAAGCATATAAATAGGTTTTGTGTTGGTTTTATAAGAATTTCCCCATATCTCCACACAGTAAGTCATGTATGGAAGTATTAAGCAACAGTATAAAATATATAATGTATTTATATTTAGAAAAATATTTTGTAATAGTTTTTGATATTTAAGCTTTTACATTTTCAATATGAGCTTTCCAATGCAATGTCCAATGTTACATAAATATTTTACAAAACAAGACGAGATTTCAGCATGTTTTGTTTTTATACAGAAACACGACCCACCTGTTAGCAGCATCCCTTGCCTGCACTACAAAAAAATGAAGGATCAGGAGGAGAGGGAGCTGAACGGGGAGGTAACATCCAATGCAGAGGAGTCTCCTGTGAAGCTTGGCGAGGAGGTTGTTGGTGAAGAAACGGCAGCCAAGTCGGAGGAGGAGCAGGATGCTCTTTTCTCTGGCGTCACTGACCCTGACCAAGATGGAGAGTCTGCAGCTGATAACAGCCTGCAGAATAAAGAATCTCTGCCCTGCGACACTGCACAGGGGGCCTTAGGGCAGGTCAAGGCCAAGGTGGAGGTGTGCAAAGACGAGTCCATAGGTAGGGCTTTTTCCAAAACCGCTTAAACGTTTTCCCTGATTTTTTTTTTCTCATAAAACTCTTAACTTTATGTCTCATCTTTCCAGAACTTGAAGATTTTCGTCTGTATCTTGAAAAATGTTTTGACTTTGAACAAGTCACTGTCAAGAAGTTTCGCACTTGGGCCGAGCGAAGACAATTCAACAGAGACATGAAGAGGAAGCAGGCGGAGTCTGAGAGACCTATTCTACCTGCCAATCAAAAGCTCATCACATTATCAGTCCAAGATGCTCCAACYAAGAAGGGTAAGATGAGCACTTCCATACTGACTGTTTCATACATGTCGGAATATGTCAAGTGTTGACGAGAAATGAGTTACTTTGTATTAYTTTTGTGCAATTAAATGTGTTTATTTCAACAGAATTTGTGATCAATCCCAATGGAAAGTCTGAAGTTTGCATCTTGCATGAATATATGCAGCGTGTCCTGAAGGTCCGACCTGTTTACAACTTTTTTGATTGTGGTGAGTTTTTGGTTTGTAAGTAAAGATAAATGTATTTCAAGACTTCTGTTGTATATATTAACTCAACAGACATGCAAAACYTTTTCTTTTTTTATTAAATCCACTGCACACAGTATGTTGACATTTAATGTCAAATTTCTCTAAAGGAATTTTGAAAGCAACTACAATTTTTATTTTTAGCAGAAGATACCCAATAAAATTGGCAGCTTATTACGTACTCATAAGTCAGACAGGAAAACGCTTTTTATTTATTCATTTATTTACTTTTTAATCTAGTTTGAAGATAAAAGTTGATGTGTTCACCTCAGACTGTATTTTTGTGGCCCACAGAAAACTCAAGTGAACCCTTTGGAGCGTCAGTCATTATAGATGGAGTCACTTACGGCACAGGAACCGCCAGCAGTAAAAAACTTGCCAAGAACAAAGCTGGTAAGATTTTAATTATGATAGTTGACTAAATGTTATAGKTTTTTTTTATTACAGTATAATAATCTGTCCTGATGTGTGTATTGGCTTTGGGTTAAATGTCGTCTTCATAAATCATCTGACAATCCCATTCAGACATCAGTCTGTGCCGTTTGAGTCAGTGAATATAACATGCTGTGTTTAAATAAGTGAATATAACATGCTGTGTTTAAATAAGTGAATATAACATGCTGTGTTTAAATAAGTGAATATAACATGCTGTGTTTAAATAAGTGCTGAATACTACCTGTTAGTTTGCCAGTTTTTTACATGTGTTGAACTGCAGCTCGAGCCACACTGGAAATCCTCATCCCTGACTTTGTGAAGCAGACCTCAGAGGAGAAACCTGTTGAGGGTGATGAACTAGAGGTGTGTTTTTATTTTATTTTTTATTTTAACCTGTTTTTATTTTGTTTTGTGTTTGAATGAAGCATAGCTCAATAGGGTCTTGCCAAATTATTATTTTTTTTTTCCTCTGGATGTGAACCCATTTATAGAATTGAAAAAAAAAAAGCTTTTCAGTTGTTTTCTGTCCCCCACAGTATTTTAATCATATCAGTATAGAAGACTCCAGAGTGTACGAGCTGACCAACAAAGCAGGACTACTTTCGCCATATCAGATTCTTCATGAGTGCCTTAAAAGGTGAAATACATTATATATTTTTAAAAATTAATTTCTTAAGGGGATACTTTAAGAAGTGCAGTGACATGATTTATTTTGAGGGAAGGAAAAAACACTGGAACTTGCACTGATGATGGATTGCTACTAATAAATGCAACATTCCTGTAAATGACAAAATCTGTCATAGTTTAGCCAGAATGTCTTTGATTTAAGTTTTATCCTTTGTGTCCAGTCACAATTTGTTTTCAAAGGTCGTCATCCCTCCCAGTTGTCTCATATTTCCTCACACTCATGAGCTTGAGACCCCCTTGATGAATCTGAAAAATTTGCATTACAAATTTACACTCAAATATTGTCAGTCAAATTTTCAGAGCGAGGCCTTACGATGTGTGCAAGGAAATGAACATTTCTTGGAGGCATTTTGAAACTTTTTGGAAACTCGGCCAACAGTTGCAGCCTGGTGTTGTCCTATTGTTAAACAGTGCTACCAAAAGGCCAGTGTGTTTGTTTCATATGTACAACAAAAATTGTCATTTGTTGCAGAAACCATGGAATGGGGGACACCAGCATCCAATTTGAGGTGATCCCAGGGAAAAACCAGAAGAGTGAATACGTTATGACGTGTGGGAAACATACAGTACGAGGGTGGTGTAAGTAAAACCAAACCTTTATACTTACAATACTGTAAATTCTTTGTCAGAAATATTTACTGCTCAGTTCAAAACAAAAGCAAGCTTCTAAGTTAAGCATACCCGTGGATGTCACCAGTGGTGGGCAGTGCTAATCCAAAAATTAGCTCCGCAATTTCTAAAGAGCTTATGCCATAGAAAAACTAGTGGAAGTTAATTTTAAATCACAAGTTCAATTTGACACTTGCTGGCAATAATTCATGTATAATATATGCACAACACTGCCATCTAGCAGTGTATGAACTCTATTACAGCTTAATCCTACAAGCACCGATTGCTGGGGATGTTTGTTGAGGATTGCTAGTTCGGCTGCTTCTTTGTCTTTTTCTTTTGTTTATTGTAGATTTTTCATTAAAGAAGCATCAATAAAGTAATTTTAAAACTATTTATTGGAAAACTGAAGCGATGCATTCTGGGTACATGATGGATTTGAATTGTGACGCGGGAAACTATCTTCACTTCAAAATAAGAGCATGGATTTTAAAGTTTTCCATACTTTTGTTGTTGCTCCAGTTGACCACTAGATGTCTGTCTTCATCAGCACAACATCTTTAAATCATTTGTGTGTCTCTTCAGCTAATCCCATTGGCCGATTGCTCGAACTAATTAAGTCAAGTATTGAGCTCCAGTGTTTAAACTTTTTTTAAAGGAGCTCCGATTAAGTAAAATAAATCAATACATACAAAATTTTAGCATGGATTACATTTACTGTTTTCGCCCRGTCACATAGTTCTAACCATTGCCTTCCTGCTACGTAAGCAAACACAAAGCATTGTGGGAAATGTTTGTAAAATGAGAACCGTGACTGAAAGCAACAGTCAGCAAGGATGTATACCTTCCCAATAATTRTGTTTATAGGGAGGGGTGCTGTGGGACAGATCATGTGTTGTGATTCATTGACAGCCATATTGTCCGCTGTTCAAGAAAATGATGGCTGGTAGATAATTAGTTATTAGCGGCACTGCAATTTAATTTTAGAAAGCGCAAATCCGCTTATGAATTATAAAAATTAGTAAGACCGCTAAAGYGCAAATGAAATATTTAGGTCCGCAATTAGCGGATTTGCKCTTTAAGGGGCTGGTGCCCACCACTGGGTGTCACTAACAGRTTTTGTACATTTGTTGTCTTTGTCACTAGGCAAGAACAAGAGGGTTGGTAAACAGCTAGCATCTCAGAAGATCTTACAGATGCTTCACCCCCATGTGAAGAACTGGGGCTCACTGCTACGAATGTACGGCAGGGAGAGCAACAAGATGGTCAAAAAGGTGAGTCAACTCTGTGCTGTGGACTGTAAACCTGCTGAGATGAGGRTACTCGTGTCTCATCTACAGTCAAAGCAGGTGACTTCTTATCTGTGTAGTTAATGCAGCTTCAAACCAGAATTACTCATTATATGGTTCATGTTTCCCAAAGCAAGAACATTTTTAAAGTCAGTTCACAAGACYCCAGAAGCAGGTTTTCCCTGTGGTTTTTGTAGCATTTTAAACCGTCCTCTTGAGTCTTTGTGTTTTCATCTCCTGATGGTGTACTCTGTGTCCTTTTTTTTTGTTTTGTTCTAAGCTGTGTATTATTTTTGACTGTTTGGGTTGAACAAAATGATTTCTCTTTCAGGAGAGCTCTGATAAAAGTGTGATTGAGCTTCAGCAGTATGCCAAAAAGAACAAGCCAAACCTCCACATCTTGAACAAACTGCAAGAAGAAATGAAGAAGTTGGCAACACAAAGGGTAAGAATTATAGTCAGTATTTTTCCTTTTGTTTATGCAGTTCTGTGAGTGAACTACTGAGCAGGAAAAAATGGTTAGTGGTTTATTTGGGCTGAACAGATTGCACTGTTCTTTAGGGGTGCAACAATACATGTACCCGTATCGAACAGTGCTGTATGGAACAATACAGATTTTAAAAATTTATTTTATCAACATGTCTTCTGAAGATGCTCTGTGTTAAGGATCAGTGGATCTGTGTTCGACTACTCCACCTAGGCTGCATGTTTGACTACAGGTCCACTGAGAAACTTGCTGTTTCAGCAACATTTAATTTAAAAACTGTATTTTTGAGGTTAAATAAATGTTCATAATTAATATAAATAAATTACAAGTTAAAAGGGGCATGGGCATTTCTCTTTTTTTGTATCGAAAAATTATTGAACCGTGAGACTAAAGTATCGAACCGAACCGTGAATTTCCTGTATCATTGCACCCCCTAACTGTTCTTGTCTTATATGTGTGTTTCTTTTTACTCAGCTTTACATTTCATGTACATAGTAGTCACTCAGTAACTGTTGTCAAAAATCCAGTGGTGCTGACTAAAGTTGTGGGACTTCATACACAATGCACTTTGATTTGTTATTGCAAAAACAGAACTGTGATTTTTAAATTTATTTCTAAATCTTTTGAAACCACGTTGGAGTTTAAAACCTTCATATTGATATAAATAGTTCAGCTACCATTTTTAAACACATCGCTCACTTCTCCATCTCCTAATTTGTGTTTTCAAATCAGGAGGAAACGAGAAAGAAACCCAAGATGACCATAATGGAGTCAGCCCAGCCGGGGAGCGAGCCCCTCTGCACTGTTGATGTTTAAGTCTCCAAATCACTGATGAACCACAGCACTGAAAGCCAGTCACTGTCAAAACATCACCATCCACACCCAGATTATGCATCGCCCAGATGAAAATGCAATACAGTCTCACACTGAGCAGGCTGGTTCGAGTTGCTTCCTCCTTCACCTACATGTTAGTGTTGAGCAGGTACATGTTAAGGTAGGACTAAATGCATTTACAGACAGACTCTAGACAAATTACTGCCTACCTCTCCAGATGCATCCATGCTATAATGCTAAATATTCGTTAATGGGACGTGATTAAATATGAACCACATCTGAAAAATAAATGCACGTATTTGTAAACAATAGAAACCACTGCACTCATTGGTTTTTCTGTCAGTGTTGTTTTCTACAGGCACAGTCTTTAGGTATCTTTTTGTTTTTAGTGCTGGAAGTATTTGAAAGGGACTACTAATACTTGTATTTATACTTGTCATTCATTAGGGAAGCAAAGTTTCTTGTTTGGCTATAACAATGGTAGCTCTGGATAATTGGAGGTAATCAATTGCGTACTGTTTTCTTAATAACCAGAATTCAAAGTCGTCTTGGTTTGCATGACAAGAACTTACGTTGTGAAGTGATCACTGTTTGGACCTGTTCTGCACTTGTGTCCGGTCTGATGTTTTCGTTAAGTAATTACGCTGTTGGTCCAAATGCTTTTGAGACATTTTGTTTTAGACGTTTTGTTAAAAGGGTTTCCTAGCCTTTTTATAGTATTTGTTGTTTTTCTTCATGCTGACACTGCAGTAAACTCAGTTCAGGGCCTGAGTTCTGCAATAGGTTTGAACATTTCATTAATATTAGTTCTCATTTGCTTTTCTTTCTATATTTGTGCTCAACCGCTTTTCATTTAGGATGGCCTTTTTAAAAGAAATCCAGTTGGCTACATGTTGCCTTAGTTAATCCATTTCATGAAGGGCTCCGACACTAAACAATACATTGGACCTAAAATCACCTTTCCTCAGCAGGAAGTGGGACGACCAAGCCCCATTTACTTGATATATAGCATTTATGGGATAGGTGATCATATTTAAAAGAAAAGCTTGCTAATTGTCATACATATGGAAATAGTAAACAGCATGTGCAGTTTTTTGAGTTGTCTTAATGGATTGTGGAGTTTGTATGTTTGACATCTTTGTGACAGTTTGTTGTTTACCCACAGGTTTTAAAAAAATCTAAAGGCAAACTTGTAAAAACTGACAAGTGTGCATACCAAAGCTTATATCTTATGCATTTTATAGGATCTTTTAATGTTGTTGCAAACTTGAGTACATATACAAATAAAAATGTAATAAAAGAAAAGGCATAAAGGCTGAAGTTGCTGGAGCAAAGAAAAAACAAACTGCTGTGCTTTTTCTACAAAACATCTGAAGAGACATGAGTTTAAACAGCTCTTGTAACAGTGTAATCTGCTTTGAGAATGTGCTGTGTGCATTTTGTCAACTTTGTGCTGACGTAAGGAGAGAAATCAAAATACTGGTTTTATGTTGAATTGTACCAATAAATTGTTTTAAACTGTTGCTGCCTAGAAACTGATGTGTTGCAACTTGAACTCTTTGACTTCAGTGATATATTTGTTATGCAAAATAAAAATGTCTTGACTAATGACTACACTCACTTTGGTTTATTCATTCATGGAATACAGGTGTGCTATAAGTTGTTTGGGTTCTTTAATTAATGAAACAGAGGTCATGAAATAACTTGAAACTAACAAAAAGTATTAAAATATTACAAACCAATGAGAATGTCACCTGTGTATTTTACTCATTAGTCTGCCTGTTTAAAGGGTAACACTTCATATCACATATTTCCACAAGTAGTGCTGTTTGGTATCTTGGTGTGTACGACACTAAACATGGAGCACAGGAAGCTAAAGACGATATATTTTGATTGGATAGAAAATTGACAAACATGCTAAAGACAAAGACCGTCTCCAAACAGCTTGATTCAAAAAGTTTCAGACAACAAAACTAATTACACAAAATCTCAAGACTCGGTCAAATTGAAAATCGTCACTGTTTTTACTATCAACACAACTTTGAGCCACAACAGTTGTGCTGTGTGTCCGCAACTTGTAGTAGGTGCATTATTAGTTACTGCATACATAGTTCTTTGCGTCAAAAAAAATACTGGCCTATTAGTACATTTATTAAACACAAGACAAAAAGTTATTATTTTTTTGTTATGGGAAGGGGTAAAAAAATAAATACCTCATCAGATAACATTACTTGGCTGTAACTTTTACTAATTTCATTTCCTACCTTTACAAACTGACAGACACCCTGATCAAGGCATTTGGAGGGCAAAATGTGCTGCCCATTGACAAAACTTCAGTCTCAGTTGCAGGTCATTGGTCCAACAGAATGACCCAAAACACAGCATGGCTAAGAACCAAACACTGGACTATCCTGAAGTGGCCTCTTGAGCTCTGATCTAAATCCTGTTGAACTGTGAAATAACTTGATTGTAATGGTCGCCTCAAAAAGCTGTGCTAAAGTTAAGGGTACTATTCTTCTTGTTTTGTTGCCAGTTCCATTAGTTTAATATTGGTGAACTAAAATTCAAATGCCATT